GTGCAGATGGAGGATATGAAATGGTAGTAAACAAAAAATATATAAATACATTTGCGCTTTTTGTCTTGTGCTCACCACAATTCACCACAAAGGTCACCACAATTGTAAACTGCTTAGCATAGATTGTTGTGATCCAGCTAAATAAATTTTAGGATTCAGTTCCCGAGCCTATTATGTGTGTCTCTTATGTTTTTTTATTTATCACCTACAGGATGGGTATGGATGAAATACATAATCAATTCAATAGTCTAATCTTTATATATTTAAAAAAAATGCGATCGAAAGCCAAAACAGGGTAAGTATTTAGTGAGGGATCGTATATATGTTTGAGCTAGTGACTGGAGTCGACAGTAAATAGAGCATTGAACCGGCCCCCAAAGTGTTCGTGTGATAAGAAGCCATGGTCACACAAAGATACATGGTAAAACAAGTTCTAACGTGGTATTTCCACCACCGGCCGGAGACAAAGGTTGCTGCTTCAGCCCCGTTGAAATCTCCAGTCAACCTGTCCTCACCTCTGTGGTTGAGTACTGCTCAATAACTCATTGTTCTATAGTTGCTCTCTATTTTTTCTTAAACTGTCATATTAAATAATTAGAATTAGAATTCCAATTTACGTTTGTAAACGCACATCAATCATATTCTGTGGTCGAGTACTCATTAACCAACTGCACCATATACAGAACAGATCCCTAACTATGTATGACATATGAAAGCTAATATTCACTTCAATTTATCTATGGAACACCATTCTCTAGTGGCCTCGATGGAGACAGGAAGCCGACGGCTTTTCAAAAGATCCCCCCCCCCTTTTTCCTGATGTACTTTAAACTGCCATAATGTCTTGGTATTTATGGCTTCTGCAGGTAGGCAGTTCCACGAGTTCAACCTTGTGGGTGAAAAAAGTTCCTCCTGTTTTCTGTCCTACATTATTTCTTGTTGAGCTCGAAGCTGTTGCCCCTTGTATCTAATCTTTTAATGAAGTGGTCTGGCTTAATGTCTCCAACTTGTTCAGTATGTAACAAGTTTCCATAAGACGAGCCCTGTTATGTTTGGTCTGCAGTGTTGTTAGCACTGAAGCCCTCAACCGTTCCTGGTGTGAGAGTTGGCTTAGTTCTGGGATGATTTTTGTCGCGCTGGACTTTCTCCAAAGCAGATATGTCTTTCTGAAGATGAGGTATCCATGCTTGGATACAGTAGTCCAAGTGTACGTATTTCAGTACGTACATGCACCAGAGATTTGAATAGTTGAATAACTATTTTTTTTCCTTGAAGTCAAAGGTTTGTTTAACTCTTCGTAGGATTTGGTTGGCTTTTTTTCATTGCAGCTCCCACTTGCTGTGCAACTTTCAATGACTGGTGGATTCTGACTCCTTGGTCATTTTCTTCATCAATCTCCTGCATAGTGATGTTGGCTTTGTAATGTTATGCAGTTGTGATGGGCATTGTTATGCCCCGCGTGATTTTCTTGCCTTTGCTTACTTGCATGGTGTTGCATTTTTCAATATTACATGCTGGTTAGCAATGTGTAAATGTACGGCCGTGTTCATGGTAAAAAAAAAGGCTTTTCTTAACCAGTTCGTCCTCCCTCATGCCTTGTGTCATGTTCTGAAAATTTTCGTAATATTCTTTTGATACGGAAATGGGTATACCCTTCAATTTGACTACATAATGGAAGAGGTATATTTTTGTGTTATTCCAAGGGCATTGTTAAATATCTGAGGGGCTTGCAATACAATGAAGGTATAGATGCGTGGTGGAAGGTCAGCTGAGTGCGTGATGTATAATTGTGGGTATACGCTGGGATGCTCCAGGCCATAACAGGAAGAGGATGGTTTACCTGTAGTTGATTTCAAGAGTTGTTCCACTCCCTAAGCCTAGTGCTTACCTACCATATCAGTGACTAAGGGAGTAAGGGCTAAGTACTTTGTGCCTAGTGTGCTTTTGACATCCCTTTACGTTTAAGTTGTCATATTTTCCTTAAAGCTGTCCTCATGCCAGGCTCGTTAAAGCAGCGGCCGACCCCTTCCCCCAAGACGCATTCGTCAATTTAACGAATTGTGTATTAAAAATAGGTTTGTTCTCATATATGAATTCATATAATTTTATATTAGAATGCAATATATAGTTAGGCTTGATTAGATTAGATATTTAGGTGCCAACAATTATTTGCATTTGAAGTATGTGGGTGAAGAATTCAACCCGTTCTCAACTCAAGTCCATTACATCCAGCGGTCGACACCACAGACGCAGTCATAAATTTCTACAGGCTGTTCATTCAAAACAGGAATTATCTCAAATATATATTAATAATATTATAATATATTAGCATATTGTGCATATATAGGCATAGGTTAGATTAGGTGTTTAGGTTCTGTTAGCGATTATTTGTAGTACGTGGGTGAAGCATTTACAGCGTTGTGGTTCGAACAAAATTCGTCAGTGAAGCACTTGTTCCGGAAGTGTTCGAACGTCAACAGCTTACACTTTTGTGAGTCGTGTGTAAACCGTTTTTCGTTCATAAACAGGGGGTCTGGTGTATGCACGGAATCACTTTTGGGGGTCTTTGTTTGGAGGACGGGCTGATGCAAGGAATCACTTTTGAGTCTTTCTTTGGAGAGAATTTACAGAGTTGTGCTTCGAACAGAGATCACCAGCAAGCATTGTTCGAGAATTTTTTGAATATCAAGCGCTTTTTTTTTAATTTATAACGGGGGGAGTTTGGCGGCTGGATTAACGAGCATCTGGCCTTTGTTAATGAGAACGGGTAGAGTTTTTTAATGAAAAACACTTTACACACAACTCACTACTGATAATGTTCGAACATTTGTTGAACAGTGCTTCAATGACGACCTCTGTTCGAATCGCAACTTTGTAAATCCTTTACCCCACGTACTACAAATAATTGCCAACAGAACCTAAACACCTAACTTCGACTTAACTATACACGAAATTCTAATATATTATGATAATATTTTATATTTAAGAAATGCCAGTTTTTAACGCATAGTAACATTACTGCGTCTTTGGGGTCGGTCGCAGCCTGCAATGGCCTAGCCTGAGAACCGGTTGCTATTTCGCCATTATAATGTTCACAGATGATGGGAAAATATATGAAGCGTAGATTAAACATATATATTATATGAATGAATCTGGGTAGATATAAACAAGGAGCTACCTAACATTGTCCCCAATACGCCTTCTGCAGTTTCCTTAGTTCTTATGCACTTGATACGAGACAGCGTAACAGAAGCTGTCTGCAAGATGGTCTAAGTGGTTTTTCCAATTTAAAAAAAAACAAATGTAAAATAATGAAAAACGAACCTAATTTAACATACGGGTTATGGAGGTCATCACAAAATCCGGAGCCAAAACGCTCAGGTTCACTTAGTGTGCACACACACACAAACGCACAAGCAGGCGCGCGCACACAACGTTCTGGATTCGTAGTTCTGTGGCCTGGGGATCGATCCCCGGCGGTGCGAAAACAAATGCGCAGAGTTTCTTTCACTGATGCCCCTGTTACCTAGCAGTAAATATGTACCTGGGAGTTAGCCAGCTGTTACGGGCTGCTTCCTCTCTGTTCTCACCTATTTGTGCTTGCAGGGGTCGAGCTCTGGCTCTTTGGTCCCGCCTCTCAACAGTCAATACTGGTGTACAGATTCCTAAGCCTACTGGCTCTGTCATATCTACATTTGAAACTGTGTATGGAGTCAGCCTCCACCACATCACTGCCAAATACATTCCACCTGTTAACTACTCTGACACTGAAAAAGTTTTTTCTAACGTCCCTGTGGGTCATTTGGGTACTCAGTTTCCACCTGTGTTCCCTTGTTCACGTACTACCCGTGTTAAATAGTTTATCTTTATCTACCCTATCAATTCCTCAGAGAATTTTGTAGGTAGTGATCATGCCTCCCCTTACTCTTCTGTCTTCCAGTGTCGCGAGGTGCATTTCATGCAGCCTTCGTAACTCATGCTTCTTAGCTCTGGGACTAGCCTAGTGGCATACCTCTGAAATTTTCAAGCTTCGCTTTGTGCTTGACAAGGTATGGGTTCCATGCTGGGGCCGCATACTCAAGGATAGGTCTTACATATGTGGTATACAAGATTCTGTGTGTGTGTGTGTGTGTGTGAGTGTGTTCACCTATTTGTGTTTGCAGGATCGAGCATTGTCTCTTGGATCCCGCCTTTCCAGCCATCGGTTGTTTGCAGCAATGACTCCTGTCCCATTTCCCTATCATACCTAATTTTAAAATTATGAATAGAGTTTGCTTCCACATCCTGTGTGTGTGTGTGTGTGTGTGTGTGTGTGTGTGTGTGTGTGTGTGTGTGTGTGTGTGTGTGTGTGTGTGTGTGTGAAAAAGTTGACAGTTGAGAGGCGGGCCGAAAGAGCCAGAGCTCAACTCCCGCAAGCACAACTAGGTGAATACACACACACAATTATATATATATATATATATATATATATATATATATATATATATATATATATATATATATATATATATATATATATATATATATATATATATATATATATATATATATATATATATATATATATATATATATATATATATATATATATATATATTTTTTTGGTGGTCAGGTGATCTGCCCAGGTGGATATAAAGGTCTGATCAGCAATCTTATCCTCATTCTACTTTGCTCTGATGAAGGCGAATTAGCCGAAAACGCGTTAAGCATTTTCTATTTTTCATATGTGGTTATTCTGCATACTTGGATCAGTGTTTTTGTGATCATTGTTGCATATATATATATATATATATATATATATATATATATATATATATATATATATATATATATATATATAATCATCTTTTCCTATAATGTCATTCATTCATCGTCATTCTCAACAACACACATGCATAATAGTGTACATAAAAAAATGGTCACCTTCATATCAAGGTAATTTAATCAAATAAATTGAAACATTACAATACATGTAAAAATATACATAATAATGGGCTCACCTCCAAACAAGAGGAAAAAGAGGATCTTGACGGGAATGAATTCCTTCTTGATGAAGTCCTTCCAAACCCGATCCACCCATGCCGGCCGACCTATCATCGTTCAGCACACTCTACGTGTTCCTCCAGACGCTTCACGTGTTCCTCCAGATGTTCCACCAGACGCTCCACGTGTTCCTCCAGATGTTCCACCAGACGCTCCACGGGTTCCTCCAGAAGTTCCACCACCTGTCAGATGACGTTCACAACCTGTGTCAATAACCATTTTTAGACGCAAGATGTAATAAATGTAGCCTCTGGAGACTAAACCACACACCAGAAGATGAGGATACGACGACGTTTCGGTCCCTCCTGCATGGACCATTATCAAGTCGATTGTGATAATGGTCCAGAACAATCTACTTGATAATGGTCCAGGGCAGACTGAAACGGCGTCGTTGCCTGTGGTTTAATCTTCATATCTTCAGCCACGTTATTGTGACTCATTGTCTGCCTATGATAGATATAACCACATGGGCCGCATTAGACGCAGCACATATTAGATGACACATGGATGTTATAATTCCATGTTATACTTAGAACTCTATCCGTTATTGCATCGAACTTGTGTTATCTCTTAACTTTCCGTTTATTAACAGTTTTGTATTCATGTGTAGAAAATTAAATACATTTCAGTGTGGTTTATTAATTCTCCACGTGTTTAGCTAAATGCAAGTTACTATGGCAATGTATTTTTTTGTCATTATACCTATTTCATAGCGTACAAAAATACATTTTTTGTATTCCTATTTCAACCAACAGACTTGTCTAAACGTACACATAAATAAGGTGAAATGTTTAAGGATTTTATTAACTCCCATGTAAGAGAAAAATTCACACGATAATATATAACAAAAAATTCAGAATTTATTATTTCTCGAATTCAAGTCACTCAATAGGTTTATTGTAGAATTACAGACACTAGGTGTCTCCAGCTGATGTCAGTTTTCTTCAGTACTGGTCAATTTTCCAGGATAAAATATAATTATTGACTGGTCGGTAAACACAAATCACGGCTTAATTTAACACTCCAGAGGTTAACAAGAGGCTTAAACCCCATGGTTAAATTTTATAACTTTAGTTATCTGTTTAATTGACACTATTAAAGATCACAAAATAAAAAAAATATTCGTTTGCTAAAAAGTTGTTCCCTAGGTTTCGTATAAAAAATATCGAAACATTTATACAGCTATGCACAACTCTCGTAAATTTGGCTTTTTTAAGCTATAATTACACAGCCTAAAATGCCGCCCCAATTTGTAGGACTGCGTATGCATATGGTAGTACCTGCTTGTGCGTAGAACAGGAGGGAAGCGGCGGGGGGGGGGGGGGGTGGGGGAGGCAAGAAATGGGTGACACAGACAGGAGAATCGCCAAATCACGTCCTTCTCTCACCAGTGTTGGAACGCTACTGAGAAGCGTTCATCCAGAAGACCTCCCCCCTCCCCCGTCCCTCTCCTCGTTCCCCTCCCCGCTCTCCATCTTCCTTCACCTCTCTTCTCCACCTCTCCTTCAACAGATACCTTCAGTCGGCCACAATCAGAGTTACAGCCCCGCTCCTGTGCCAGGTAAGTCCACTACGGGCTCACCATAGCCCGTGCTACTTGGAACTTTTGTTCCGAGTAGATGAATCTAAAACAACAACAACAACAAACGGCCATGATCATTCCAAACCCGTCCACACCGTTACACTAGATGTAGTGTAGTTAGTCTCTCTTGGGCGGGAGGATCACGATGTTGGTTTAATGAACTGAGTGGACTGAGACTGAGTACGATGTATTAGCTAGTAACTACAGTTCTGTAACTTCCTCTACTATACGAATTTCATGGTTGCAAATTGTCAAAAGATGGCGCCTACTCAGAAAACTAACTAGCACCGTCTATCTTAATATTCATTAGTTTCTAAATAGCATACCAATAAGAGCTTAAAAAAATACAAATCTAGCAAAGAAAAAGCAATCTGATTTATAGGATTTTACCGACACACACAAGACTAAAGGGAACATTGGTCAAGTCAAATTTCCTATCATGAAAATATGGACATTCTACGAGGTAGAGCACGACTGTTAGCAGATCAATGTAGTTATAAAAGAAGTCACCAAGTCGTGTAGGCTATGCTGTTTGCATTTGTGTTGCGGGATAATCAAAAGGCACTAAAATGTCACTTGGGATATGATTACAAAAGGACCGAGACCAAACCAATCATCTGAAAATAAAGTTACTTTTCTTTTGTGCGGATTGGGTGTAAATTTCATCCAAGCTATTTTGCGTTACTGTCTGCTAAAGGACAAAAGGCGAGCGACAAAGAAATCAGATTCACCAAGGGGTAGTATCGAGGGTCGAGTAACCCGGAGGACGTTAGGAGAGACGTACGATCATCCTGACAACGGGAGGGAGGAGGAATTATCAGGAGAAAGCCTGACAACCGGGAACATTCCACAAACATGTAGACGATTAAGTTCAGAGTTTAAGAGGCAATCTCTTCCATCAAACACCGAAGACCTCACCGTATGAGGAACAGCGATGGATGAAGCGGAGGTCAGCGTCAGTTAAGGTTACACGAAAATAGTAAACATTAGGGGACAGGAAAACTACCTGCAGGTAACAGCTGAAGGTTGCAGAGAGTTTCAAGTCTGCCGTTTTAAATTGCCAAGGGTGAAGGGGAAAGAGGAAGAAGCGAGGGGGAAAGATAATGTGAAATGGTTGCCGTTTTGGTGGTAAAAAAAAACGCCAATCCATGTAAACTTACTAAATGAAGGGGACAAAAAAAAGTAATGCAGGAAGAAGTGTTAATGCGAGACAACGGTGTACCTTTACGATCTATTCCAGAAGTGAAGAGCTCATCAAAATGCTCCTCTGCAAGGCGGTAATGAATCAGTTACGGCTCTGAACAAGAGTGGAGGGGGGGGGGAGTTCAGTCCAAGGCTTGGGGTGAGGGGCGAGGCGCAGTTGTAACAGCTCTGGGCAGCCTCGCCAGGTGACAGTCCCCAGTGATTGGAACCTAAGTCGAATCTGCCAAAGCAGCAGCTAGGGACGGAGGGGAACAGTAGCGAGAACCAAAGATGCCATGTTTAGGCCCGCTACAACCGAGTTATGGAGCACGATCTTCCATAACAGTCCGACTTTTGGGCCTGGTCGCCCACCCCACAAGTGTGTTTAGAAGAAACGTATTGGGAAGAAGACAAGTAATCAAATTCGACTCTACTGCCCTGTACCTCCAACCACCGCAGAACAACAAGTGGACGGACAAGCACAGGTAATCTCAGGGATAACCGACAGTACACTCAAGTAACCATTGAAGGGCCCGAATAGTAGCCCAGCGACTAAAAACACTAATCTCTTACTGTTCATTTTACCCAATGTCTAACCAGGCGAGCTAGCCAGACAAGGCAATTGATTCAGGTGAGCCACACACAACTTTCCGTTTTATCTCCATTCCCACCCCATCAACGAAGCATTGCTACAAGGAGCTGTAGACGCTGGGTATATAGGCTCATCAACCAGATGAAGGAATAATGGAGAATGTATGGTTCTCCATGCACGGCGAAATATGGGTGACAAAGCAAATTGTACGCATTTTCCTCGTGTACCATCACAGGAGACTGGAGCAGAAGCCACAGACGCTGTCCGCGGCCACGCCTCGTCCCCGTAAAGTAAATCACCACAAGTAAGTAAGTAATTATCAAAAGAAGGCACCAAACCGGGAAGGCTATGTAGCACCATCAAATACGCAAAATAATCAGAGGGCGCTAAATATCACCAAGGATGCCAATACGAGAACAAAAACGCATAAGGCGAACGATATCAAAAGTATCCGAGTCACCAAGAATTCTATCGAGGGACAGGTGACCGCGAGGGGCGGTCGTAAAGCAAGACACACGCTCGTCCTGGAAGTCAGGACATTCAAGAAGGACATGCACGACCGTAAGAGGGACAATGCAACTAGGACAATAAGGAGCAGGGCGGCGCTCCATCAAGTGACCATGGGTTAAGCGAGTATGGCCAATACGCAACCTCGCCAGAGCTGTTTCCCACCGCCGGTTACGGTGGAAGGAGGACGGCCACGAGGAAACACAACATTTAAGAGTACGTAGCTTGTTACCAGTAACAGACAACCAAGAAGCCTGCCAACGGGTAAGGACTGAGGAATGGATAACCGGGTAAAAGTCGGAATACGGAATGCCTTTACGAGAGATGGGACAAGAGCGGACAGCTTCCTTAGCGGCAGCATCCGCACGCTCATTTAAAGACACGCCAACATGGCTGGGAACCCAACAAAACTCAACCGACTTAAATTTACTGTGAACGAGAAACAGCCAATGCTGGATCTCGACAACTACTGGATGAACTGGATTAAAGCACCCGAGAGCCATGAGGGCACTACGAGAGTCAACAACAACCACAAAGGAAGACTGACAACGAGAAAGCAGGAGACGAAGAGCATAGAGAATAGCATAAAGTTCCGCTGTAAAGATGCTAGTCTCCGGAGGCAAGCGACACATATAAGTGCGATCAGGAAAAACAACAGAGTAGCCAACACCGTCCGCTGACTTAGACCCATCGGTGAAGACAGAAACGGAGCGGGAGTGAGAAGAAAAGTGCTCGAGGAAAAGGCGTTTTAGAACCGTAGGAGGGGTAAAAGCTTTAGTGATACGAGTCAAGGATGTACAAAACCGCGGAAGAGGGACCCTCCACGGGGGCAAAGAAGGAACAACACGAGGAGAAACATCAGAAATACGAACGGAAAGAGAATCCTGTAGGTGAGATAACCGGACAGAAAGAGGGAGGTGGTGAAGAGGAACAGGAACCGCAGGAGGGGTAAAAGTTAAAGCACGACAGAGGCGAGAGGAAGGATGTTGCAAGGACCGCGCAAGATAGCGAAGACAGTAGCGATCACGGCGGTCCTGGAGAGACAGGAAGCCAGTGTCAACATACAAGCTAAGGATGGGAGTCGAATGAAAGGCACCAGAACTGAGGCGCAACCCAGTATGGTGCAAAGCATCAAGACGGCGAAGAGTAGAAGGAGAAGCAGACGAGTAAGCAGGGCAACCATAATCGAGCTTAGACAGGACGAGAGAGGAATGTAAAGCAAGGAGAGTGCGCCTATCTGCCCCCCAAGAAGTATGGGACAAGACCCGAAGGAGGGTAAGGGCCTTAGAGCACTCAACACGGAGGTAAGAGATATGGGGAGACCAAGACAAACGAGTGTCAAGGAATAACCCCAAAAGCTTCGCGGAATCTTTGTATTCAAGGGGATGACCATAAAGTGACAAAGAGGGACGAAGAACAACCCGTTTCCGCGTAAAAGTCATGGCACAAGTCTTAGAAGTAGAGAACTTGAAGCCATGACCTGTGGCCCAAGACGACACGGCATCAATTGCAAGTTGAAGCCGGCGTTGAAGGAGAGGCGAATCATCACCCTGACAACAAAGGGTAAGATCATCGACATAGAGAGCGGAGAAGACACCAGAAGGAAGAGAGGAAAGAAGACCATTGAGGGCAACCAGAAAAAGAGTAGTGCTCAGAACACTACCCTGGGGCACACCTTCGTATTGCTGAAAAGAGGGAGAGAGAGCGGTACCAAGGCGCACCCGAAAGGAACGACGAGAGAGGAAGCTGCGGAGAAAGAGAGGGAGATGACCACGAAGGCCAAAAGAATGAAGTTGAGATAGGATATGATAACGCCAAGTGGTGTCGTAAGCCTTTTCTAGGTCAAAAAGGACGGCAACAACGGAGGTCTTCGCAGCAAAAGCAGTACGAATATAGACCTCCAAGTTCACCAGGACATCTGTCGTGCTGCGGCACTTGCGGAAACCAAATTGAGAAGGGGAGAGGAGGTGATGGTGTTCCAGGAACCACATCAGACGAACGTTAACCATACGTTCAAAGAGTTTGCAGACACAACTTGTGAGAGCAATAGGGCGAAAGTCCTTAGAGGAAGTACCCAGAGACCCCGGTTTGCGAACAGGGAGGACAACGGCATCGAGCCAGTCCTCAGGGACTGACGACGACTCCCAGATCCGATTATACAGACTCAGTAAATACTGAGACGTGCTCGGAGGGAGATGGCGAAGCATCTCATAATGAATACCATCGGAGCCCGCCGCCGTAGAACCGCAGAGGGCCAGGGCAGAACGAAGTTCAGAGAGAGAGAAGGGATCATTATAGGGAAGCTGAAGATGAGTGCAGAAATCTAAAGGACGAGACTCAAGGACAGGTTTACGAAGAAGGAAAGATTGGGGAAGATGAAGACCAGAGCTAACAGAAGAAAAGTGGGAACCCAGTTCGGAAGCGACCTGCAACGGGTCCGCCACAAGAGTATCATGGAGGTGAAGGACC